TTGGAGTCCAAAGGTTTTAGACTTAGTAGAACTAAAACTGAGTATATGAGATGTGACTTCGGTACTACTACTCGGGAGGAGGAAGATATTAATTTAGAAGGTCAAGTAGTGCCTAGAAAAGATACCTTTCGATATTTATGATCAATGCTACAAAGCAGTGTGGATGAAGTGGCGGCAAGCATCTGGTATCCTATGTGACAAAAGGGTAACATAGAAGCTAAAATGCAAGTTTTATAGGACGACGATTAGACCTGCTATGTTATATGGTGCAGAATGCTGGCCTACGAAAAGACTACATGTTCAACAGATAAGTGTCGCGAAAATACGTATGTTGCGTTGGATTTGCGGTCATACGAGAAGGGATCGAGTTCGGAACGATGATATACGTGATAGATTAGGGGTAGCATCAATTGAAGAAAAGCTTGTCCAACACCGGTTGAGATGGTTTGGACATGTCCAACGGAGACCTCTAGAGACACCGGTGCGTAGTGGAATCCTAAGCCAGGATAGTAACATGAAGAGAGGCAGAGGAAGACCGAAGTTGACTTAGGTAGAGGGAATAAAAGGAAACATGAAAGGATGGAATATATCCAAAGACTTAGCCTTAGATAGGAGTGCTTGGAAGACAACTATTCACGTGCCTGAACCTTGATTGCTTCTGCTGGTTTTTAACTCTAGCATACCTCAATTTATTTAGGACTGAAATACTTTGTTGTTATTGTTGTTGTTGTTGTTGTTTTCTTAATCTAGACCTTTTTTTATAGCAACACAATTAAAACTAACATTTCAAAAGCTACCTCTTCCAGTGAGTCACGCCAAGCTATTTGGCGTGGTAATTTTGAGTCACTCGTATCCTCTTTGTGTGCTTAGCCTCCTGACTCCTGAGTCACTCCAAGCAGATTAATGTGGCTAGGTTTAAGAATCCATGCCAAGCGCACTGGCGTGACCAAATGAACTGTTTGTTCTTCAGGATTTTATGGTTCTGTGTTAGCTAGTTATTTTAAACTTTAATAATGCCATGTACAACCCCGTCCTGAAACGATACAACTCTAGTATACTAACAAGTCACTTAAGTATAACCAATTTTATGTAAAACAATATGTAGATTCATCATAAATATTGATATTTTTTTTCTATAAATTTAGTTAAATTTGAGATAGTTTAGCTAAAGATAGAAGTAGAATCACATTTTTTTTAGGGCGGAGACCAACCAGGGTTCGATTTTGAATTCCACTGTGGCCTGCAAAGCTGCGCTGCCCTCACTTTGATTATTCTCCTTTTCTGCAAACGCAGCGAGTGATTCGTCCGTTCGCTTGTTTTATAAGTCGTATTTTTTAATTAATGAATAATATTTTTTTCTCATAATAAATCAGTCAAGAGTACTTTCAGCCATGACTTATCAGTCAAACGAACAGGGCATACCAGAGTAGAGTAATGCCCTGAGTATGTCATGTTCGCTTGGCTGATAAATCATGACTGAAAGTACTATTTGCTAATTTGTTGTGAGAGAAAAATGCTGTTTATTGATTGAAAAAAATACGGCTTATAAACGAAACGAACCAGACGTAAAAACTTCAAAAGATTATTACCCCCAGTACTGCTAGTCCTACAGGCGCACTCTTTCTGTTTAATCTATCAATCATTCTAAGGCCTCGTCTAGTTTATCCTTTAAATTTTACCTCCTATTCCATTGAATATTTGGACATATGTATAAAATATTAAATATAGGTTAAAAAATAATTAATTGTACAGTTTGTGACTAGTTTGTGAGACGAATCTTTTAAGCCTAATTAGTTCAAGATTTGACAATGTGGTACTACAGTAATATATTAGGCTTAATAAATTCGTCTCGTGGATTACTCACGAATTCTGTAACACCCTATTCAACACCTCTATATATTCAAAACTTTAAAACCCTAAATTTAAACAATACCTAAAATCGCATCCATGAAAATCGCATCCATGCACTCCGGAGTCTGGTCTAGTGCAGTTGACAGGCACGGGCACGGACAGTCACGCAGAGCACAGAGCACATCACACGACATGTGGGAACAAACCGGAAAGGCGAAAGAAAACATTTGACCCGTCCTTTCAACCAGCCAGCCAACAAAACAAGGAGGTTTTTAAGTGTGTCATTATAAAAAATTGGTAATTATCTACATAGCGCTAAAAGTTTGAGCGGTCACACATACCACTCATCTAAACTTATTTATCCTCCACGTCATTTCGTCCATCTTCCGTTAGATCTTTGCTGTTTGCTAGCCCAAACATGTAGGTCCAGCCGATCAAGATGTCCAAAATAACCCCCTCCCTCTCTCCCAATCCCTCTACTGCTCGCTGTGGTCCTTGCGTCGCGGCTCCGCGCCGCCACTCTCGCTGCCGTCCTTACTCGTGTTGAGCTCGCCCGCGCCGCCCGCGGTGGACGGGCCGTGACGCGATGAATCTTACGCCGCTTGGATGGAGGTCGAGCACCACCTCCTGGTCCTCGCTCCGTCGATGTCCTAGCGTCTGTCCACCTCTGCGAGGCGCGGTCGCCGATTTCATGCTCGAGGCTCTCAATCTCTTCGCTGCAGGTCGTCGGGTCGTTGATGCCCACCTCCTCCAGGATCTCCTGCAGCCTCTCCCGCTCCGGCACGATCTCCCGCTCAATTTCATGTATTACGCAGGCACAGCGACGCGGACCGCGGCATGTCCCCGGCTACGGCGAACAAACCAGGTCGTCGAACGCGGCGACCAGGAGCTTGGGCCGCCTGGTGATGGACGCGAGCGCGCCGCGCAGGAATGGGGCTGGCGTCTTGGTGGCCTCGAACATGTCCTGCGCGAGGTGGTGCAGCGAGCGCAGCAGCTCCCCGTTCGTGGACTGGGCATGGCCATTGGAACACCTACAGAAAACCGCTACGGCCGTGATGCACCTCCTTAGGCCTCGCCACCGGCTATTGCGCCTGCGTGTGGGTGACGTTTGTGTCCAGCCACATGCTGTCCGCGGCGCTCCCAGAGCAAGCTGCTCCCGGAGTCCCGGTGTACTCAGCGCGCACCACTGGGCCGCGAGCACAGGTCAGCCTAAAGATGGGTGACGACTGTGTCTCCATCAGCCAGGGCAATGACGATGTGGACGTCGCCCGAGTGCGGTGCGGCCCTAGGCCCCGGCCACGGCATGAGCGTCAGCAGCCCCGGTCGGTACGCCAGCAAGGGAGGTCACCTTCACCGGCACCATGTACGGCGTCCACATCAAGGGCATGACGACGACGCGTCGACGCCGGTGGCGTGATGCTCAGGTGTGGCGTGCCGTGCCAGGGCACATCAGCCAAGCGCGACTGTGCGAGAACGGGTCATGTACGTTGGCTACCAGCTCCCAAGTCCTGCACCTAGGTGGCCGTGCTTCGTGTTCACATCCCAAAGGCCCTTCTTGCCAAATGCCCTTTCTGCTATGCTTCTCCGTTCTCGCACAATCACCGATATGGATGGCGTCACTTCGAACTGTTGGAACATGGCGAGGATGCCAGCTGAGCACGTCATGCCAAAAGCGATCACCGTGTTGGAGGTTAGTGGCACAAGAGGAAAGAAACTATTTTACATGTCTTTCAGACTTGGTTGGCATTTTGGACTTTTCTCATCACAATTTGACACCGTTAGAGGCATAAACGGATGGAATGGCGTGGACGACAAAAAAAATTCCGGCCAGTGGCACCTAGATGCGCTCAAACTTTTTAGAGCTTATATATAATTACCGACTTTTATAATGGCACACGAGTGAACCCTCGACAAGGAGAAACTCTCCCGTCCGTCTCTCTCATCCACGAGCACAGCCTGCTCTGCTGACTGTCCGTCCTGCACAAAACCACTGTGCGCAATGAAACGCAACGCAACAGCAGGAAAAGGTCCCGGTTTCACCGCCACAGAGCAGAGAGCACAGCCATCTGACCGTCCATGGTGGACCTGGAACGCCATGAATCCCAAACACACACAGCCGAGAGGGGCAGAGGGCATTCCCAGGACCCCGAGGAAAAAGAGGGAGACGTGAGCACCAAAGGGTGCAACTCCCCTCCTCCCTGTTCTCCTCGCTGGTCGCTGCTGTGGTTCCGGTTCTCGATGCGGCGGAACGCGAGGTTTTTTATGGACCTTTCTTTTGACCGGCAGTCAAAAAATAATCCCTCCTCCTATGAATGTGTGTCTGTCCCGGCCCGGCCGTCCATGTCCATGGGACACGACGGCAGGGTAAATAGAAAAGGCCACAGTAGGAGAGAATCCAATGCGATGTGAAACTGAAATGCTACGATGCTGAAGTTGAAACGGATTCTTTCACATCTCGCGTCGCGCTTCCAAGTTCCATGCCAGTGGGCGTGTTCGGCTGGCTTAAAGCCAGCCGGCTGGCTTGTTTTTCCTCTCACAGAATCACTGTTCACGTCCTGTCAGAATAATATTTTTCTCTCACAACAATCAGCTGGAACAGGATTTTTCAGTCCTGCCTCCTTTTTGAATTTGCAAAATTTAAGCTGTTCTAGTCTTTGTTTTATTTTCTTAATTAAAGCGAGTGATTGATTATTAGTGAGTAATAACCGATGGCAGTAATGGACGCGGCGGCGGCTGTCTCTGTCAGCTCAGCTCAGCTCCAGCACTGGCATTTTGCACGCAGCGCTCCCCTCCAGTCTCAGCACAGCGGCACTCTGCGTGCTTGACCGCCTCCCTCCATTTCGAATTTCAAAACCCCAGCGCCTCCTGCCCACCCACCCGCCCGCCCCGCCGGCCGCTCCCACTCCCACTGCAAAGCCAAAGCAGGCGCACGCGCACGCGGCACGCGCCCCTTTGTCTCGCCCGCCCCGCGCTGCTCTCCACTCTTCCCTCCTCTTGTTCTTGCCAAAGGCTGCTGCCGCGTGGGTTGTTTGCTGGGCTTCTGGCCGCTCCTCTTCCTGCTCCCGTGTCTGCCGCCCACCGCTTCTTGGGACAAGTCCGTTTTCCCCCGCCGCCGCCGTCGTTCTGGGCGAGAGGAGGAGCGGAGCAGGATGGGAGGGTCCGGGAAGTGGGTCAAGTCGCTCATAGGGCTCAAGAAGCCCGACAAGGAAGACTGCAAGGTGAGGGGGCAAAGGAAATGGGTGTTCTTGGTTTCTTTGCCACAAATGGTTCCCCGCTTTTTGTTTCTGTTTTGTTTTAATCAGGATGATTCCTGTCTGTCTCTGACTATCGTGATTCATCCTTGCGAAGATTTCGTTGGAGATAGATGTCTCCATGAATGCTGCTTTCTCGCTGTCGCAGACTCGACCTTTTTTCCCCTTCTGAAGTGAAAAACAATGATTCCTAGGTAGATTACCGTCTTGTTCCTAGTTCGTGTGGTACAGCCCCTACTTCCCTTTCCACACTAGATACAGAACATACGATTTGATACTTTTTTTTTACTCCCAGAATGGCAACCCCCTGTATCTGATGATACCGTCAATGGCCACCAAAAGTGTCCCTTTCATTCCTTCGTACTACTTGTCTGTCAATACTCGCTTTCTTGCTTCAGACAAAAATCATTGTGTACCGTATTTGTTCATTCGTATGGATGTTCAAGTCATTCCGCGGAATCGTAGCTCAAAATCTGAGTTCCTCCCTTGTACAGTTCACTCTGAATTATTCTGAAGTATTTTCATCAAATGCGCAACTTTTCCTGCTCCTGTCCAGGACAAGCTGCCACTCCCGTCAGTCCACGGAGGATTGCGAGGCAAGGGCCGCAAGTGGAAGCTGTGGCGGACCTCCTCCGGCGACCAGGGCTCCATCTGGCGCGGCTCCACAGGCGGCAGCCAGCGCTCGGCGGCGTCGGAGGCCTCGGACGACGCTTCCTCGGTGGCCGCCCCCGCCGACCCGTTCACGGCCGCCGTCGCCACCGTCACCCGCGCCCCGGCCAGGGACTTCATGGCCGTCCGCCAGGAGTGGGCCGCCATCCGCATCCAGACCGCCTTCCGCGGCTTCTTGGTACCGGCATTTCTCCGCGACACCTGTTTCTTGTTTGGATTCGTACTGGATTGTGGTTGCGAAATTCGTGATGGGTTTGCGCGTGTGTTCGTCGTTGGTAAAGGCTCGGCGGGCGCTGCGGGCGCTCAAGGGGCTGGTGCGGCTGCAGGCGATCGTGCGCGGGCGGCAGGTGCGCAAGCAGGCGGCGGTGACGCTGCGCTGCATGCAGGCGCTGGTGCGGGTGCAGGCGCGCATCCGGGCGCGCCGCGTGCGCATGTCCACCGAGGGCCAGGCTGTGCAGAAGCTGCTCGAGGCGCGCCGCACTCAGATGGATATCCTCAGGGAAGCCGAGGTCTCTGAACTCTTTTTTCGGGAACACGCATTCACGTGAATTGCCTTCTCCTTACTAAGATGATTCGGTTTCTGAAACGCATTGAGCAGAAAAGCCTAGATGAACAAACTCTCATTGCTCTGGAATCTTTTTTTTTTCAGGAAGGATGGTGTGACAGTCAGGGAACACTTGAACAAGTGAGGGTCAAGCTGCAGAAGCGGCAGGAGGGCGCAATCAAGCGGGACCGAGCTATCGCCTACGCATATTCACAGCAGGCCGATGGTGCTGCCAAATGCAATGTAGGGATCATCGACACTTTGATTGTGATTCTGTACAAGTATCTGTGTATATTGATCTGACCTTCCTTCTGTCTGTTCTGCAGCCACCAAAGCTTACTTCCAATGGCCGGGTGAACCACTCCGGCATGCTGCTCAAGCACCAGAATTTCGACAAGAGCAATGGCAACTGGAGCTGGCTGGAGAGGTGGATGGCAGCACGCCCATGGGAGAATAGGTTGATGGAGGAGCACAACCAGACCAACTCGAGCTCCCCTGACTTTCGGTCCTCCAAGAACTGTGAGGACTCTTTTGGTGTGCTCGGCGACTTCTCTGAACCGAATTCAGTGAAGGTGCGCAAGAATAATGTCAGCAAACGGGTCTGCGCAAAATCACCTGGGCCAACGCACGCCCACGGACATCATCAGCGCCTCAAAGCCCAGTCGATCTCGTCTCTGAGCACTGAACTGCACAACGATGAGAGCTCCGCGTCGTCGTCGTCTTGTTTCGCATCGACCCCTATATCATTCTCCACATTTGTGACTTCGGAGAAGACCGAGGACAATGTCAGGACGAGACCCAACTACATGAGCATGACAGAGTCGATCAAGGCAAAGCAGAAGGCATGCAGCGCCCAGAGAACGGTGGCGCTGAAGCAGTCAGATGATAGGAAAGTCATGAGTGCCGAGTTGAAGGCCGCTCAGGCGTGATAGTTTCATGGAGCTCCATGTAGAGATGAAGCCGACTTCCACATCCTCTCTATGCTCGGATGTTTGCTTGGTGTCTTGCCACATTCTTGAGTGGCTCGGTGCTGCATTGTTGAGTTGTCCTTATGTTGCTGGTCTGATTGTTCAACTTCTTGTTGTCAGATTGCATCTTTGTTCAGTCATTGTGGCTGTATCTTTGTTCAGTCATTGTGGCTTTGTCAGTGGTAGAGTCTCTGTAAGATAGTTCTTTGAGTAGACAACATTGTGGATTTCTTGCCTGGGTGTTTATTTGAGGTGAAAAAGAGAGGATAATTTACAATGTCCTGCTTCCCAAGATGGCTCTTTGAGTAGAAATACTATGCTGTGGTCTTAACTGGAAGCTGAAACCAGTGTGCTAAAACATTGCAGCGGTTCGTGAAGAAGTACTACTGGCTGGTTTGTGTGAGAGAAAAATACTGTTCCGGCCGGAAATTTACGATCGTTTACGACAAGCCACAGCCAAACGAAAAGGCTGAGAGCTTGTTTGGCTGGCTTATTCGGCTGGCTGGGGCTGGCCAGGCCACTCAGCGGGGCACTGTTTACGTCCTGCCAGAACAGTATTTTTCTCTCACAATAATCAGCCGGATCAATATTTTTCAAACCCGCCGAACAGGCCCTCGGGGGTCTGACCTCATAATGTGAAGGACTGAAACTACACTATGCAAACTGTGGTCTGGGGTCTACTCCTAGTCCTAGATGACTAAATTTTTGTTTGCAAACATAAAACAGGTTATCCTACTTGTTGAACTGCTAGCTAGTGGTAGGCAAGACCACCTAGAAATTTTAGGAAAGTTCACAGTGGTCAAATGGTACATGATTATTGGAGCTCAGTGAGTAATCAACTTACTGATTGCCAAGTTTGTGGACTAGTTTAAGGCCTTCGTATCATCGTATGACATTTTTCCAAGTGAACTGCTGATTGCTCTTAAATGACCAGGACAGATTCTGTCAGGAATCAGACAGGACACAGGGTTTGGCCTTGTTTGACCTCCTTGAACTGCTGATGTTTCAGCAAACAGACAAGACAAAGTCTTGGTCAAAGAGCATAGTTGCCCCAGATAACAAAGGCCCTAGAGACCTGGGATCTATGCATCATGTGCACACAATGACACACACACACCAAAAAAAAAAAAACTGACTAAACCTACAAACAAAATAAGGACATAAATATTGCTTTTTTTTATATTGACAGAAAAGCTAGTTCTATTGAACTAACTGCAGGGTAAAGAGGTATGAAAATCGGAGATCAAAGCAGTATTCAGATCGGGAAAAAGGCCATGCAAATGGACAATTGCATCGTGTTTCATTCTTTCTTTTTTGAGAGGACAATGCATCATGCTACTGGCCAAGTTTTGAAATCTTGCGAGTACACGTTTGCATGATTGCTTCCAGGTTGGCCCTGGATTTATGAACGTGCTCATGACAGCCACACTGGAAGGGCAAAAATGTTACTGATTGCATTCTCTACTGAATACTGACAGCGCATTGATTGTGCTCTGCTCTATCAGAATCTCACCGCAAACTTCAGGACCCTTTTATTGGCCTGCTGTGTGGTCAATCAATGAGTGTATCTGCTGGGTCCAGACATACTGCCTGGATTCAAGCAGTGGGTTTTTCCCCTGTTTATACAACCAAGATCGTTAAACAATCAAGATCACATGAATCTTCCGTAGAGCATTGATCAAATCAACAGGAGGATCGGATACGGGATGTAATTCTGATGGCTCGCAATGGTGCAAATTGCAAATTTTCGCTCCTCCATCTGTCCTTCGAAGGAATGGCAATTGACGTATGGTTGCCTCCATCTGTTCAGTCATTCTGAAAAGCATGCCCTGCGCCAACAATTTGTCAACCGGCTGAAGTTTGTTTATAGAGAGGTTGGGTGTCACTGTGACAAGTCAGTCAACTCCACATTGTTGACTACGGTAGAAATCCTGCCCTGCAGCAAGTTCTCTATTGCTTCCATAGAGCATTGATCAAATCACAGGGGATCGGATACGGTCACTGTACACATCTGATCCGGCTCGCACCGGTGCAAATTGCAATGGCAAAACGATACCACCGTCCTTCGAGGGACATGGCAATTGACGTACTCATGCCTCCGTCTTTCCCACCGGCGCCGCCGTCACCTTGCCCTGCACCAACAATTTCCCCGTCAACCGGCTGGCGCTGCCTCTTTTGCTGGCCCGGTTTGAGTGTGTCATCTGTGACCTGACTGTCTAACTCCACACCGTTGACTACGGTAGAAATTGCTAAGTTAATACACGTGGTAGAAGACAAGTTGACAATGTTATTTTTTTTCACGTGGAAATAAACGGAATCGGCCCAACTCGCCCTGGCCGTATCGCGCCCGTATCTGCCGCCGTCTTCCGTGTTGGTGCATATATACTGCATAGTATCGGAATTTGCTACATACTCGTTAGCTTTTCAAGGAGAGAGAGAAGAGGGAGGTGGAGGTGATCAGGTGAAGGTGAAGGGAAGGCGAGAGAGATTTTTTTATTATTATTTTTAACACTTTTTTAAATTATTTTTAAATCTAAGACTGTTTTTTTTTCTTCAAAACTAACACGTTTTTGGACGTGCCTATTCGCATGGCGCGGCGAAATCATGTTGCCGCGCCATGCATGGGGCGCGGTAGGAGCGGCGACGTGGCAGTGACCCGGGCTGCTGAACGCTGACGTGGCTGGGGCTGTCGCGTCGCGAATCTGGGCGCGGCACTGACAATTGCCATGGCGCGGCAAGGCTGACGCGCCCCTATCCATGGCGCGTCGGTCAAAGCGGCAACAAATAGAACAAGACACTTCTGTTATGTTCTCACATGAGCCAAGTTATTTTATCGTGTCGGTTTAACGAATAGGTCAGCAGAAAGGTTAAGTGCACGAGACAATCAATGCACAAGTTCAGCAATACTAACTTGTACATGTTCCAAGTTCATCGCAAGTTCGACAATACCTCTGTTCGACATAAGTTCAACAAGTCATAACAACGACACAAGTTCACCAATACATAAGTTCGACATTACTCGACATACTACATGTTCCATCAGTATATGGGTGTCTGAGTACAAGTGCACCATGTCATCCTAAAGAACTCATACAACCTAGGAGTATATGGGTACCGTGGACGTCGCTGCCTCTTCGGACATGAAGGCAGCACGTTAGGGGTGAACCCAACGTCGGTACGGTCTCGCTGGCGGTACACCCGGCGTTACTGCTGAGTGTAACTAGGATCCTGCAATTACAATATAGGCATCGTTACTTACAAAGTTTAAGTAATTGTGATGTATATGGCAAAGGGTTGTTTCAAGTACCTGTTCGTCGAACTGTGTAGGAAATGGTGCATCACCAAGCTGAGACATCCCAATCTCATTGTAGTCCTCGTCCTCCTCATCCTCGTCCTCCTCAACGTCGTGCTCCGCAGGACCCTTGCCTACATTGCCGGGAGTATGAACATAAGAGGTCCCAAAGAGTCGTGTCGGAGGAACCCGCCGATGTCGACATAGTGTCGGAGGAACAGTCTCGGGTCATAGGGCATCTCCCATGTCGCAGAGTGCTCGGCGTACGCAAAAAGGAACTAGATAGGTCCGGGTCATAGCTTTGAGGCATCTCCCGTATATATGAGTATCCGCGGTGAGCGTTGGTCGTGCGGCGATTTCTCCGATCGTGACCCTTAGCCTATTCTTCTGCGCTCCTCTCCTCACTTTCTGCGTACCTACAAAAAAAAAACACGGATGAATGAGTCATGTGAACCATTTAACCATTGGTTGTCATGTCTTTGAGAATAGAATGTACATGGACCCGAAGAGGAGTGTAGGGAAAATTAGTGGCTCGTTAAAAAAGTATATGTGCGGTCACGAGGACTCGGGGCTCCTCGAATGCAACCATTGGAGGTATTTTTGCGGACTAGCAATATCAAAGGTTCGTTGGTCGCGGCGGTTTCTCGACGATCGGGGTCCCACGTCCCCCGATAGTCATCACAAGTGCGGCGGCATCAAGCTAGGAGGAATCTAAAGGAAACTGGATGAACCAAACATGGAGGAATATATGAGAGGAATCCATGCTAGGTCCGCGCTGCCCTAGCTATACGCTCCTATTTCTCCCCGGCTAGAGTTGAGAAAGGCCTTTCTAGCACCCGGCCGAACGAGGCCTAAGTGTGCCTATTCTCCTAGTCGTGGATGTACCCGCGTGCAAGACTACACGACTCTAATTCTTCTCCTTGTACCCATTCCTTCGATCTCTAAACAATCTACAAGTTTAACGTTAGTTATGTAGTTATATGTATGCACAGCAATGCTGCTAAATTATTATGTTATAATCTACGCACCCTAAGCAATGTGACTAACAAGGTTACTAAAACCAAATTAGCCACATAAGGGAGCTTCTATGCTACACAAGCAAGAAGATAATTAGCAAGTACACAAGTACAGCTTAAGATATATATATAAGTAATTGCGGTAATGGGGATGCAAACCAACGGGAAGCAATCTTGACACGATGATTTTTCTGCCTATACACCATAAAAGGGTAGTGCATCTCGATCACGCGTGAAAGAAAATTAGTGGCTCGACACGCTTTAAAAGTCACTCGTCAAGTACCCCTCACAAGCATTTTCGCACAAGCTTCTCGGGCTTCGACGGAGAGGACTCTAGGAGGTACCCCTCTAGCTCCACGACCACCTAGTGCCACTCGATGCAACCTCATGGACCAAGGCTCACTCACACAATCAATTCACTATCAAGTATATGTGTTGGAGGTAAGCACTCACAAGCATACACTAAGTCCCCTTAGGTTTTATAATAATAAAAAAGCAACAACACCGATTAGCGTGTTGATGGATCAAAGTGGTCGTTGACGACACGTGTCCGGTTCCACGGTCACTTGTCGGGACGTCTAAGCGGTCCGAACAAGTACTATTTGTACCACCGCTCGGGTTCCTCTAACTACCTCCGCTTCTTGCGGTCGACG